TATTATTATATATATATGTATATGTATTGTATATTAGTATATTATATATAATATATGTAATATATACATATGCATATAGAATATATATATATATATATTATATATTATATATATATATAATATATACATATGACATATACACACATTTATATAGTATATATATATAGTGTATATAGTATATATATATATATATAATATGTGTGTATATGTATATATGTGTGTGTGTGTTGTGTTGAGTTGGTGGTGTGTGTTTGATATATGTGTTGTGCGTACGTATGTGCTCGCTAATGCCGCCGAGTCAATTTGGTCAATCAACCATCAATCAGAATACCATCCACTGAACTTTAATGCCGAATCCGTCGCTGCCCAAAATTATAGTATTTTTCCTCGCTTCTCCGATTCGGGGAACCTGGCATCTTATCTGCCCAGCATACGACTCGACTCCATTTGTACGCGAGTAAACTTGATTGCAGGTAGAATTTGTTTTATATTTTCGGTATGAAAATCTGTCAACTATGAAAGAAAGATTATGTGTTAAAAGTTTGTATTTTGTTTTATTTTCGGTATGAAATCTGCCCCAGAAACAGGATTGAGCTGTTTTTACACGTGTAAAATATGATACAGATTTGTATGTAAAGTTTTTATTTGTTTTTTATATTTTCGGTATGAAATCTGCCCCAGTACAGGAGTGAGCTCTATTTGTACACGTGCTACGGCTATGAAAACATCGTTTATATGAAGTTTTGAATTTTGTTCTTATATTTTGCGGCAGGATAAAATCTATGCCCCTATATATAATGAGCTGTTTTTGTACAACGTGTAAAATATAATACAGATTTAATGTGGTTTGAAATTTGTTGTATATTTTCCGGAATGAAAAGTTCTGCCCCAAGTACAGGAGTGAGTTCAATTGCACACGTGTAAAGCTATGAAACAGATTAGTATGTAGTTTGGAATTTGTTTTATATTTTCGGAATAAAATTCTGCCTAAGAAACAGATTGAGCTTATTTGCACACGTGTAAACTGGTGTCAGAATGTTGTACGTTAAAGTTACTATTTGTTTTAATTTCGGTAGGAAATCGGCCCCAGTATTCTTGGCTCAGTAGTTTTTACCAGCGTGTAAACTATGATAAGAGACTTGTATGTCGAGTTTCAATTTGTTTCATATTCTCGCATGCTATTTCTGCCCGAGTACAGGATTGAGCTCAGTGTGTACACGTGTTAAGTATGATACAGATGTATATGTAAAGTTTGCATCTGTTTTATATTTTTGGTATGATATCTGCCCCAGTATATAATTGTGCTGTTTTGTTACACACATGTAAAGTAATACTACAGATTGTGTATATATATATATATATATATATAATATATTATATATACATTATATATTACTAATATATATAGTATAATATTCGAATGATATCTGCCTCAGTTTATCATTAATTTGTGTAAACTATCATGTAAATTTATATGTAAAGTTTGCATTTTTTTCGGTATGATATCTGCCCCAGTATATCACTGGAGTTCAGTTCTTACACGTGTAAACCATGATAAAGATTTGTATGTACACTTTTCGATTTGTTTTATACTTTCGGTATGAATTTATATCTGCTCGTACGAATCGTAATGAATATGTTCGTATATACAGTTTAAATATGGATTGGTTTGCAATGCACAGAACAAGATCATAATGACAGGGCAGTTTCTTTTTATTTTTTTATGCCCATACCCCTGGGTGAGCTTGCGTTCAGATGTTTCTACTTACACTAGGAATTACGCACATGTTCGTATGTACATGAATGTGACCATGATGAACCTATCGCACATAGATATCAAGGGAAGGCGTTATCTGTTAAGTTGGCAGCTTTATCATTCACAGTGTCTGGTGGTGCTTTCTCCGGGGACTGCAATTCACATTGGCGTTATATCTCTTCGCAGATAACTGATAACCACACGCACAAGCGACACACACACACCACATACACACACCACACACACACCAGGCACGCACGACACACACAGGTATATATATATACTATAATATAGTAGTATATACTAATATAATATTAGTATATAGCTAAGTAATAGGGTATATATATATGTGATTATGTATATCGGTAGTAGTATATAGTAGTATTATATATAGTAGTATATAGTAGTATATATATATAGATAATATACTATATAGGTACTATAGATAGAGTAGATATTACATTTATGTGTATGTATATATATAGTAGTATAGGTATAGTATATGATAGTAGTATAGTATAGTATATAGTATAGTATATGTGATTATTAGCTATTGTATTATAGTATATGATTATATATATATATATAGTATATGATATAAAACATACATACAGTAGCAGACTATATAGGGTATATAATATAGGTTATATATATTATAGTATATGTATAATATAGGTATGATAATATGTATATACTATGATGTTGTGCCCACACACTATGAGAATGGCAGGAATAAATTTGCAGAAGGCCCACCGAAGGAGACCGCGAGCGTCGTCGTCCTACAGCAGAGTCGCCGGGATGCAGCTCGTATCACCCTCAGGCCCGCGGCGTAGTCCCTTCGGCGCCACCTCGGGCCAGGGCCACGGCTGCCCACGTGCCATTCTGTAGCTTGCGCCCGACCTGAGGCGGCCCAGAGCCTAGGAGATTATAAAGATAAAATAGATAAATAAATAATAATAATAGCTTTGCACTTTCCTTTCAGACTGTGAAATCCTAACCGACACTACATTTTTGTCGAATTGACTTCCTTTGAAGCCCCTTGCGGTAATATAAATCTCCGTTCACAAAAAAAAATCTGCATTCAGTTGTATTCAAATATTTGTGAACAAACTACGAGCTATTAAACAGTGAACGAACACCTCATATGTAGCTGTATGAAGTTCCTGACCTGCAACCCAGGCCGATTTTCGAGGCCAGAATAGCACAGTTACTTCATATTTTTTTCTGAAGTTCCATGTGCTTTTTTTCTGGAATCTCTTTGGAATGGAGATCCGGGTATGATTGTTCAAGCATTGTTCGGCGGAAAATCGTTTAATGGTATTCAGCATTAAGATACGCTTCGGCAAACTGAATGGTCCTTTATTTTAACCTGGGAAAGCAAATGGGTTCCAGCAGCTGGGGATGTAAATGTTTAAGCAATTTATGAAACTATTGATATATTGTCTCGAGTCACTTTTCGTTCAGTACTCGATGGAGACGCAAAATAGTCATTTTTCGCTCTGCAATCGATGATAGACGCAAATTTGATAAGACCTTAAATCCACAAAATTTCTGGGCATTTTCACTCAAACCATGTTTAGTTTACGAGCATTTCGATGAACAAACCTTTTCAAAACCCGCTTCCCTCAACCACGTGCCTGTCTGGCTGTTCGAGTCACCGGCCCTCGCAGTATTCGGAAATCATATGTTTTCCATTTCTCAAAATTGCCTGCACGTTCAATACTCCACTGATTCACAGTTTCCCCATAGTGACTCAGTAAGCAACTTCAGTTAATTCATTGATATTAATGAGTCAAGAGACACAGGATGTTTTGATATCAATAGTCTTTAAAAAAAACGGTATTTGAGCACAGATAGATCTTTTTTAGGCGTCGCCTGTGGACAGTATTGTACAGGCTTAGCACTATATACATTATATTTAATTAAGCGATCCAGAGTAAGCCAAGCGACCGATGTGAGAGGCGTG